ACCCCCCAAAATCCTCCAGCAATGCTGGCTGGGGAATTCTGGGAGTTGAAGTCCACACATCTTCAAGTTGCTGAGGTTGAGGAAGACTGATCTAAACCTTAATTGCCTATATTTGAGTTGATTCTTTAGCCCCTTCACTCTTTTCACTGAATTTAGAGGAGAGAACCTCAACTAGCCCAAATTGGCATCCTTTTCATGCTAATTAAATGTGGAAGGGAAGGGATGCTGAGAATCAGATCTGCTCAGTCCAAACTAGATTCCAGCTCTCAGCATTCCTAGCTTACTTTTAATTCTTTCTCTCTCCTTTTCTTGCAGGGTCCCCCTGGTTTTCCAGGAATGAAAGTAAGTTTGCTTTCCACAGTGCAGAATCAACGGTTTGATCATGTTGCCTCCTCTCATTATTGGTAACTTTGGGCAGTTGTCATTGATATTTCTATTTTTTTTTTTAAGAGGTGCTATCAGAGGTAAATAAATTTCTAAAATAAAAGAACTCCCAAGCCAGCATTGGCACTGATGCTAAAATAGATGCATTATGGGCCTGTCAGATTTCCCCAATACTGTGCTGAAGCATGATCTAAGATTTCCTGGAATTCCCCACTCCCACCCCATTTTTCCCCTGCAGGATTTTGTATTTCTGCTTTTCTTATTATAACCAATGAAAGGTCGTGCAATTTGGATTTTTTCCCCTTCTGTTGCAAGTTTCTCCAGCACTTTACAGCCTTCTTGGTGCCCCTAATCTGAAGAGAGAAAGGGGGGAAAAAAAACTCATGAGAGTTCTCTCATCTTGGGATTTCACCAAAATGTGAGAAGCCACAGAAGCTGCAGATTGCTTAAAGAAAGGGTTATACAATGAATGAATGACATTCACACAACGCTCTTTGGCCCCCTTGTAACTAAGCTAAATGCAGGAAATGGGCATCTCACTTAAAGTTTTCACCAAACATTTCTTGGCACTGGAACAAATCCAGTTCTCCCCACTCCCATCAAATGGAATGATAATGGTTGTTCATTAATAAGATGTGTAGCTAACAAATTTGCATCTTGCATCAGCCTCATTTATTTTCTGAACATTTATATTCATGAATTTTCTATTCTCTTGCTGGCATTTTCCAATTCCTTAGTATTGCCCCAGTCTAAAAGTATTATGTTATTGCCTAATGCCTTAATTCTGATTTGCCTGTTCAGACATTACACTGAACCCTAGCTAATGCAAGTGACGGTTTGCAAACCCAACTTTAAAACTAGGGTGTTTTCATTCTTCTCAGTTTTTCAGTTCAGGCATCCTGCCAAACTATAATCTAGCTTTGATGTGGTATTACATTGAACCTCAGAGGTTTCCTGAACAGGAGACAAAAGACCAACATAGTCATTTAAATGCTTGCATGGCTGTTAGTTGGATTAAAAAACCTTTTCTATGTACTTCTGAAAGTATATTTCATTTAAACATAATTGCATTCTGGTAATATTTTCATGTGGAATAAAGTCAGGTGTTTTTTTAAAAAAAACAATGTCTCTGATTCCTTCCCTCTCCCCAATCTCTCCACCTTTCCTTGGTGCCACAAATTTAACATAAGCGTAAATATGTACTTTATGGAGCAAAAGAATGTCCACGGGATGTTTGGTTGCAAGAATATTACGAATGTATTCCTGCAAGAAAATGCTTACATGAAGAACTTGTAGAATTTATTTTGAACAGTTCAGTTGGCACTTTGGTGTGTCCTCTTGTTGAATTTCATCATGAGCGTAGCTATCTTAATCCATATTTTTTTCTTACTTTTTAGGGTGAGCCAGGTGACATTATCACCTCTCCCCTCCCTGGACAGAAAGGTGACCCAGGATTTCCAGGTCCACCCGGAATACCAGTAAGTTGGCTAAAACATCAGTTCTTGATGTGCTTCAGTGGAATTTTTTTTTTAAAGGAAACTGGTGGTATGCAGAATATTTTAATGATAGTGAAATATTAACAGGTATGGGCTGCTTGGGTATGAAGTCAAAACTCAAAGGAATTCTCAGATCAAAGCTTTTTGATGCAGTTATGGCTTCTGACATAAAATAGTATAAAGGAGCTACAAGGAGACTCCCGCCATAGGCTGAAGAAAGACCAAGTTGTTGTTTTCAAGAAGAAACACACAAGTGGTAACTGAGTTTTGGCCAGGTTGAGTTTGGAGTTTCTGGGCCTGGCTGTTAGGTTCTGTGGCAAATGCTATGAATTTATGAGAAGAACAGAAGATTCTCTTAATTTATGGCCTTTGAATTAAAGGCTTCAGTTCAGAAACACTGACATGTGTGAAAGTGTTTCTCAGTGTAGTTAACTCTACTTGCCGTCCTCCTAACAACTGTCTTATTCCTCTTTCCTTCTCTCTTAATCCCTTATTTTTCCATTTATTTAACAGAATCATAGAATTCCATAACATGAAAGAAGCTGTTTAGGTCTCCAAATCCAACCCTCTATCCAATGTAGGAATCCAAATTAAAGCATCCTCAACAGATGACTGTCTAGTTTAAACACATTTAGCAGAGGGGACACCAAAACCTCCCTAGATCATTAGTACCACTGTTATGGTTAGAGAGGGTTGTTGTTGTTTTTTTAACCTAACGATCAACTAGCATGTGTCTTCTTGGAACATAATCCCATGCTCTGCACTTCCTCCATGAGAAAGACAAACACCTGACAAAACAAAGGCAAATAGAAGATGTGCAACCAAAGATGGATGGACCTTCAGTGGAAAAGAGGACCAAAGAGCTCTTTAAACTTTCTGATCTAAAGTAGCAGCAGTTGAAATGCAGAATAAAGTAATGGTGGTCATTCCTTAGGTGCTGGTTTCCGTAACCTTTTTTGGTAGCCTTCCAAGATTATAAAGAGGTTGATAACAAGACATTCTCAGATGCTAGATACTTGTGAGTTATCTTTGCCAATAAGGCAAAGACTTGCTTTATTGTAAACCAATTTCTGGATAGGCTGACATTCACCAAACAATTATACTCTATATGGTACTTTCTGGATTTTTCTGTGTGGTGCAGAGTTCACAGTTATTATGTATACATTTTGATATTTTCTATATTGAAGTACCAAATTAAAATTGCAAAAGAAAACACACCACTGAAATTTGGCAGCAAACATCTGATTCATCATTTTTTGGGTACCTATGGACATAAAACAATATTCTAAGTAGTTCTTTTGCTGGCATCTTCCCACATCAATGTCAATCCACTGTTCTGACCATCCCAAACTTGCCAGGCACTCCCAACCTCAGAAAGACAGCTTGCTCCTATCATAAAGTTTGAGTGGCATCTGTGTGTCCTTTTGAAGTCAATACAAATTGTACTGAGCAATGCAATTGAATTGTTGTGCAATTCAATATTAGAACAGCCATTTTAAAGCAAACAAAGTTAATCCATCTTCATCCAGCCTTGAAGATTTGTAAACCATGGTTTATGGAACAGAATTCCTGGAGACTTCCAAGCAGTTTCCAGACTAGAAGTCAAACAAGGCAAGTTTAAAGGTTGTTTCTGCTGTGAGCCTTAAATAAGATGACTGTTTCCTTCAAGAAAATAACTCCATTCCTCGTGAGCAGCGTTCTTGCCCTTAAAGGGATTCATTGAGAAGTTTAGAGATCTTCTGTATTACTATGCTGGAATTGGAGGTCCTTGGGCTAGCAACCCCTGGCACTTTCGACTCCTCTGGTACTGGAACTTCAGAGGCAATGAGGTCACCAAAAGCAGCTTCTGAAGGCCAGTCCTTGTTCCAACTTCAGATGTTCTTCTTGAGAGAATGGGAAATCAGAATCTAGAACCAAATGATATTTTACGATTTGCCTTCCAGTTCTCTAGATGGGATTTAATATGAACACTCTACTTTTCCTGACATTGACACATTTTATGATAATGTGTGCCTCCTAAAGTCAAATCTCATCCAACAATTTTTCCTATTCTTCTAGGGCTCTCCAGGTCCCCCTGGTATAGAAGGTCCAATTGGTCCTCCCGGACCCCCAGGTTTGACGGTACAGTTCCCTGATTATCTCTGTTTAATTAGTGGAATAAATAAATGGCACCGGATGAGACTAGAAATGGCTGGATTAGAGCTTTTTTGGAGTTTTCTGAACATTGGGGTAAAGGGGTTGAGAAAACGGTCATGCAAGGTCTCTGCCTTTTTCTCTTCTGCTGCTCAGCACCATAGGGCCACAGTTATATTGCAGTGATCACAGAAGCATAGAGTAGGCATGGGCTGTAGAAACTGTAGGATCTCTGCTCAGTGCAGGAATCCAAATCCAAGCAGCTCAACAAATGTTTGCCCAACTTCTGCTTGGATAGGTCCAGAGAAGGATTGCTCACCATCCTTCTGAGTAAATGTTACTCCTAACTGCTCTTAGCATTGCAAAGCTTTTGTAGCAAGCGAGATGGATCTGTCTTCCTGTAACCCAAAGTTGTCATTCATTGTTCTGCACTTTGGGATACATAAAGGACAAGATTTTACTTCTTTCTGCACCAGTAAGAACTTTTGAAAAGATTAAAAGGGAGCAATTTGTATCAAAGGTTCAATTCCCAGATTTTTCTGTATGTGTGGAAAATTGATAATGATGGATTGGCTCGCAAGATACCTGTATGCCAGCTTTCAAAAGCTGGGTGCCCTTCCAATCTCTTGGACTTTGAGGTCACAGTATCCTCAGCCAGTATCACCACTACAGGGAATGCTAGGAACTCTTTGCATGATAGTTGATATAGAAATAAATTAAATGCATCCAAAGGGAGTCAACTTGAGGAAGCTGGTTGTTTGAACTAGATGTCTCTCAGTCAGTGTTTCTGTATGCTTCAAACCTCTACCCAGGGTGAGGAATCTGTGACCTTCCGGTTGTTAGTGGACTCCATTCTTCATCAGAAACCATTGCCTCTTTGAAGGCTGATGAGAGGGCCTAATATTTGGAGGGCCAATAACATCTGGAAGCATCCGTGACCAAGTATTCTATATGTTCTAACAAGCATTCTTCTTTGGATTATGTAAAGTTTATTTTCAGAGGCTCAGTTTGAAAGCAATTCAGACAAATCTCCAAATCAAGTTGACTTTCTGATTTGAATTAACGGTTCAGATTAAATTGGAGGCTTCCAAATTGAGCTAATGACCTCAAAGGACTTTTGCGCGTGTGTTAAAATTCTTGTTTAAAAAATCGATTCAACCTGATCAAATCAACTTGGTTCAGTTCAGAGCATCAGATTGACTTGATTTTCCTAATCAAATTGGCTCCATGTTCCAACCTGCCTGGATGATTGGATCGGGATCAGGGCCAATTTTACTAGTCTCTCATCAGCAGCTGTACTGTGAGGTCCTACCAACCACAGATTTATTTTTCATCCTTACAGAAATAATTCTGGAAATTAATGAGTGTCTTTACATTGATAGGGTCCTCCTGGTCACCCAGGACTACCAGGTCCTAAGGTATGGTATATAATAACCTTTTGTATCTGATTTTTGTTCAGCTTTTGTATCTGATTAATTGATTTTGGTTCAGCTTTTTTTTAAAGATCATCACTATGAAAACTCTGCAAATATACTTCTATAAAAGAAATTAGTATAGATTTATAAGGGGCGCTGGGGCCAAGGTTTATCATTCCCACTATTATTTTATTTCATCTTCATTGTAGTCATTATTCTCCATTCTTTTTTCAGGGCAATATGGGCTTGAACTTCCAAGGGCCCAAAGGAGAAAAAGTGAGTGTGGAATATTGACCTGGCATCTTGAACTGGTTTCCAAGATTGCTGATTCCTATGGAATGACAAACGCAACTAATCTGTCTTGCTGTCTTTTGGGGGAGTTAGGGTGAACGGGGACTTCAAGGACCCCCAGGGCCACCAGGACAGATCGGCGAACAGAAGAGAATTAATGATGTAGAATTTCAGAAAGGAGATCAGGTGAGTGAAAGGAGATGGTTCTAGTGGTATCTGACCAGCCACCATTCTCACTGGATTGCCCAGTTGCATTGATGGGTCAGACTGGACCATACTCCAGCTTTGACCATCATTTTCACAGCATCACCCATCGCAGATGCTGGTCCTACCTCATCAACCTCTTTGTGTTTACATTGGGTTCTATGAATTTTGCCTGGCATTTGTATAAATCACACAAAAGGGGCAAACCTCAGTGAGGAACAAGAACTAGATTGAGTGTTGGCTGGTGTGGGTCTTCCGGGCTGTGTGGCCGTGTTCTGGAAGTTTTGTTTCCTAAC